AATCATGTTATCTGCCTGTTTTGCAATTTTATTACACACAGTGTCGGTTTGTTTTCTACGAGAGCTAGAGGGCGATAATAGTTTCTGGTGGCATCATAGCAGCTTGACTAGCCACCTCTAGACGATCTGATATATTATCTCGGGAATGATACATCTTTTCACATCTCAGCCTGAGGTCAGGACCTCAAACTCGAGCCTTGGCCTTCGTATAAGTAGGCGTGCATTTGTTTCAGCTTGGGTTTCTACTAATTGCCAAAATCACGCGGGTAGGCATACTTACGGGAAAGGACGCCGTGTGAACAATTATTCCTAACGCGTTCAAGCTAAGCAGAAGCAGGTATACGTATAGACAGGCATATAGTATATTATTGTAGGCCTTCGCCACCTGTGGAGATACCACGGCGATATCAACCCCGCTTGTCCGTATAGCGCGCCATAACCCCTATCTTATAGCGCGCAAGGGTCCAATTCGAGAAAATTTCCGGACAAGCGTACCCGGGAGCTTCCACCGTCCTCTTGGTCCCCGAGCACAAAATAATACATGAATACTGTTGTCAGGCCAATAGTAAGGAGTGATATCACGGCAAGCTTGCCCGTGTCTTGGTCCAACCTTAGTTTAAGGATGGTCGTGGCAGGGCATTGCCCCTGAGTACTGAGCTGTCGCGTCACACTCAAGGCATTCCGTCATACACTTCGTGACTTTTGCGACACCTGAGCCCACACAACATAGATTGCTGCACTACTACACTGACAAGCCGACAACGACTGATTAAAATGGTAAGGAAAATGAAGCAGCATGGCACAGGAACTCTTCGTATCGACGCGAACGAAGATCCTTGACCTTCGTCCCTGCTGTCTCGAACGTGTACTCGAGCCAGTCAAGCATGACTGAGCCCTCGTATGAGATCCTTGGGTCAGCTCGAGGCCATTAACCTCGGGGAAAGGCAGGATAGGCGGCTGTGAACGCCAGCCAAAACGCATCGCGGCCCCAAGTCCATTGAGACGACGTGGGAGGTACTGTGCTTAGAAGCCATGCCTGAATGTCGTCCGCAAGAGCCGCCCAGTGGGAGGAGTCGGCAGGGTCGAAGTCAACAGGAAGTGGCAGGAACGGAATGGTAACATCGCAGTCAGCGTGATCGTCGGAGAGCTGAGAGCACGTTGATGTTGCATTGGCCCATATTCCGCCGCAAGAAAGAAGCCGACACTCACTTGAACAAACGGCTCTGTGTCAATGACTGAAGTGTCACCCTCGCTGCTAGACCCGTTCCCTCTGCTCTCCAGAGGTTTATCGGTCCTACCTTCGTCTAAGAGACTGATAGTGATGCGGAGAGGCTATATTGAACGTTAGAAATGTAATGGTGTGCATCCTGACACTCACCAGTGTGTGTTGAGAGGGAGAAACGTCCAGCGCCAGTTCGAGTGCCAAGGTGATTGGCTGTAGGGTGATGCTTTTGCTAGCCCGCTCAGTTATCTGAGGGGCAACGATGCATGAGTATGCGGCGGGCATGGGTGGATGTCCGCGCAGTCAGACACGACGGACAAGGAGAAGAAGCGTGGGAGTGATATCGAGGCTGAGCGCGCGCTGCTAAGTCCGCCCGCCTCAAGCCTCACAGCCTGAAGGCCACAGTCCACCTGCTCAACGCACTTGGCCATCCCTTCATTGCAGTATCATGAACCCAGACGAGAATAGTTGAGCATAATGAATTTGTGGTGATCCTTTGTAGATCTAAAACGCGTCCTTTGTTCCATCTCCAATAGCTTTCAGACTTGTGCCAGGCTCGCATCCACCCAGATTAGAATGTCTCGTCTGCACGCAAACACCGGATCTGCCGGTCACGGTCTTCGCCATCACTAAATGAGGGGATGAATGATAAGTAAATGATCATGACCGACATCACAGATCATGGCAAACATACACCGGGTAAATGGTGAAACTCCGACACGAGTAGCATGTAAAGTCCGTTTTTAGCATGCAGGAAAGATCGCGGGGATATGATCATAGCAAAGAATCCATTATCTACTCGAAGGGGCGTGTTATCATTAGCAGATACAGTATGATAATAACATATAGGTAATCACATCCATCAGAATTCATGGTCTAATTTAAGCGCCATCTTACCATTAGCAGATACGGCATGATAATAACATACGGGTACTCAGAGCTATTAGGACGCACAACAGGCGGATTATAACGACTTGACATCACGATGAGGTTTATAATACCAAGAATCTCATTGAAAATAATAAAGTACACTCTACAGCAAACATTACAGTATACAAGAGAATTTATTGAGGCTAGCATGTGCAAAGGATGAGTATGAGCAATATACGAGAGCAGTGACAAATTAAAGGGAGGGAAGGAGTTGAATGTTTCCATTGGGACAAAGCGAGTGGACGCGCTGGCATCTTGCATGTAGTCCGCAGGCTACCATGGATAGAACAGGAGGTGAGGGGAGTTGGAGCGGAAAGTGCGTCAGCCAGGAAGTGCGGAGGTGTAGTGAGGGCGTCTGAATGAGCATCCGAATGATAGCTTGAACAATCCTCGCCAAAGAACTGCGTGATCTGATCGATTTGTTCTTCCCCCGCGTTTTACCCCGACCAGTGAAGGCTAAGTAAACTCGTCAATTATTAGTTAAGGATCAGGAAGGTGTATACCACAAGGCTGAAGCCTAGATGTTGTTTCTGAATCACTAGAAACGCAGGTGGCTCATAACATGTAAAAATATAGGCAGCTTAGTCATCAGATGCTTGTGGAGTAAGCAAGTAGAATTACCTTGACAGCTTAGTCTAGGAATACATAAGCGATACTGACTGCAACGGTGACGCGGGCGACTTACCCTCAGACGCTTGGAGTATAAGCAAGGGAGGGACGTCGCCGCGCTGGGTCGGGTATATAAGGCCAGCATTCCATGAATCTCTGCTTCCCTTCTCCCGTACCTCCCGTCTCCGTCATGCTTCTCTGCAACTCCACTGCACTTCTCCAGGCTTCTCCCGAAGTGCCCGACATGTCATGCATGACACTGTGACATTGAGCGGGGAATTCCAACAGGCTCGTTTATATCACCGTTCATGTCAATATTGTCTATTTCCGCGGTGAGCGTGCCCAAGCTTAATTCCAACCTTCGAGTATGAGCAAACACCTGGTCCGTCAATCACTCGTGACATATAGGACGTCTTCACTTCGGGCCGAAGAACCCCGAGTCAGTGAGCAAATGGCTATTCTATTACAGTGAACATGTACGTGTTTCTTCCAACATTAATGTACTCTACTGACTATTCCTTAGATTCGTTGACATGGACATGCTCATGCGGTTTCGAGGCGGTGGCATTGGCCACAACTTACTCCAAGATTTGGACCGAAAACTCCTAGCATTGACTTTGAGTGTCCCCGAGGCCGAGGAACGCGAACTATTCGATGACCACCTCAGCGATGAGGAAGAGCAAGGTGAGGAGCCTGAGGAACTCACAGATGACAGCCACAGCGGAGATGGCAGCGATGAGGATGAGGCTGAGATGGAGATGGATACTACAGAGCAGGCGGATGAGGGATGTTTCTTGGGTGAGGACGAAGCGCTCGCTAACGAGGCTGGCTTTGATGCATTGTAGAGGTCAGTCTTCTACTACTCAGCATGCTTTTGTTAGTGGTTCACTGATTTATGAGCAGTTTCTTATAATCGAATGATCATGTTGCCTTTGAAATGAGATCCGGCTTGTTATGCTCCCACATATTGCGAGTGATTTTACCTTGAGTTTTGGTTCGCGGTAAGCTCACGATCATATGGTACTCGATGGTAAGATCCCGATGATATGATAGTCTACCATAATTTATTCTCATATTGTGGGCTGACGCTTAACCAATGTTTAATCCTCACCATTTACGGTCATACAGGATTCTATCAACGCTCATATTATAACACTGATAACCTCGTTTATGCGCCAAAATTTTTCCCCCGATTTAGTGATGGCTCGAAGCAAGGCAACTCACCTCCGGACGCATAACCACAAACAAGCTGCCCGCCAGAAGACAAGCGGCTTCCGTTTTACAGCCCCATCTCCTCTTCAAGAACCTCCTCACCAGCCTTCACCTCGCTCTCGGAATCACGCAAGTCACCGCCATGTTCACCATCCGCCCACGGAATCGCAAGAAGGTCCTTCTCGGAAACCTCCATCTCCGTCTCCTGAACCGATGGATGTTGACGAACCTGTGCCATTCTCTGATCTATGGGCTGATGATCTCGGGCAGCGAGAGTTTGATGCCTCCTTGCTCGACACCGACAGCTGGTTTAGGGATCACACAGAGGCAGTTGAACTTGGTGAGGATATTCTACCAGATATTCTATTCCCATTGCAAGAGGAGCCATGCGCCGAGAAAGGAGATACTACCCTCGAGGATCTTTGTAAGCTCGTCATATTTCATTGAGCTTGAGCTGAGCGCTGACTGATGGACGGTATTTGACAGCGGACGAAGGCTCTAACTTTCTGCCTCCGGATGCTGCTACGTATCCATGGCCCTCAATGCCGGTAATTCGAGGGCATTTCGTTCCGCTTTTCACGCGCTGACACAACGAAGGTTTTCCTTACAGATGTTCTCTTCAGTTCGCCACAGTTACATTTTTCCGAGGCTCAGAAGAAGGCAGTTCTGAGTTGGGCAAAAGAGCTCGGGGCTACGGATGTCCCCTCCCTCTATCAGATCAAGAAAACCCGTTCCGAAATTCTGAAGGCTGTTGGAGACCCGACGCACAAAGTTTCGACACGGCAAGGTGATATCTTCTACCTCAACAGTGTATCTAAGGCCATTGCAAAGGTATGGATGCTTGTATCGTAGTTCATCCAAGCTTGGCTCATATCTATAGGACTACTCTAACCCCTTGACGCGATTCGCGATGCAAGACTATCCCGAGGACATGGGAGACGCTATGTCAGAACTTCACCACAGTGATAGAATGCTCCATGACGCCCCTTCCGCCACTACACCACCTGCCGTTCACATAAATGAACATGTATTCTTTATCAACGAGCTCCTCCGCGACATTCATAACAGCTACTACATTCCCGAGAGATTTTTCTGGGCATGCACTGGAGGCAGGCGCCAGCTTTGGAGTTCTGGTCGACATGTCGAGAAGACTGATGTCGGCTTGATTGTTTCGGACGTTACCGGCCGCAAACCGGTCGAGGACTTCAAATACTCTTATGATATCATTGCTAATAAACCGGATTGGTTTGGCTGTGGCTTTACACGTGAGCGTCAAATCTTGATTCGGTCTGCTCGAAGCCTCATTGACACTCTCACTAGCTTAGCATCGTCTTCGCAGTGGGCCAATGAGATGCCCCATCCCTATCGTGCCAAGGCAGATGGGAGGATGGTGTACTCTGTTCCAATCATTATTTTCCTTGATGACGTCTCAGGTAATATATCGAAGCAGTGGAATAAACACCATGCTGTCTATATGTCAAACGGCAACCTCCCCCGTGAAATGCTGGAGAAAGAGTTCTGTATCCGATATGTATCATCATCTCCGCATGCAAGCCCCATGGATCTGTTGCGAGGGGTGCGAGAATCTGTCGAGTACGTGACCTTTGATAGCTGCCCTACTCGTTAACTCAACTATGTTTAGGGAAGCTGCACGGGACGGCATTGAGGCATATGATTGCTTGTATGACAAGAGGGTGCTACTAGTGCCATACATTGTTTTCTTGGCTGGCGACAATCCAATGCAAGCCGAGGAGTGCAGCCAGTCAGGGCTAGCCAGCAACCATTTTTGTCGGACTTGCACAGTTGGAGGCACGCAGGAGTTCAAGCACAGCGACGAGGGATACAACAGCCTATTTGAGGTAAGCACTCACTTCCGTTCATTGTCATTTCTACAGTTCCTGACGCATAGAATCCGGCTGGGTGGGCTAGACTGGCGAGCCAAGAAACAAACAAGCGACGGTAGAATGTATTGAGGAGCAGTTTGATCTTGCTCTGAAATCAGGGGCTGCTGACAAACTTCAGAAGAATGTCCAGTCAAACGGCACGCGCGATGCGACAACAACTGCTGTGCTAAATGCTGTGGTTGAACTGGGGAAGAGTCTACGAAAACGCGGGAAGGGTTCTTCAAGAATGACTGAGGCTAAGGTAACCGAGGTGCTACAAGACGAGCTCGAGCGAAACCTTCGTGGATTTTCTATCCGCGACTCCATCAATCCACTTCTGGGGATACCGAGTAGGTGTTCTTATTGTTTATCAGCATCTATTGACGTGGCTGGGTACTTGCAGCATTCGATCCTCATACCGACACACCAACGGAGGTCCTTCACACCGTCCTCCTTGGTGTCGTCAAGTACTTTTGGGGTCAAACGGCATGGCTTCTCAACCGCGACCACCTTCTGGAACGATTCCGCAGTCGCCTGGATTCACTCTCAGCTGATGGACTCAATGCTCCGAATCTCAGCGCAGACTACATTTGCCGTTACCGGGGTGGTCTCATTGGCAAACATTTCAAGAGCTTAGCGCAAGTAATGCCTTTTTTAATTTATGATCTGGTGCCCAAGGCTGTCCTCGATGCGTGGACGCTCATCGGGGAGCTTGTTGTCTTGATCTGGCATACGAAGATTGATAATACCAAAGTTTATACAGTGAGCCTTATTAATTCAAAGTCAATGTATATTCTCAGCTCACTTTTCGATCTGTAGGCACGTCTATCTCGGGTAATCGAAGATTTTCTCAATGTCACTGCGCAGTGCGCTCCGAAGATTCTCATTAGTAAACCAAAGTTTCATTTCTTGCTTCATCTACCATTCTATAGTCTGCGCTTTGGACCGGCCATCCTCTTCTCGACGGAGCGTTACGAATCTTTCAACCACGTCTTCCGCCTGACTTGCATCTACAGCAACCGGCAAGCCCCATCACGCGACTCTTGCCTCATCTTTGCTCAGCAAGATGTTATCAAGCATGTTGCAACTGGCGGATTCTGGCATGACCCCAAGAAGCAGGACTGGGTTCGCGCTGGTCCTGCCATCCAGAAGTATGTCACGGACCACCCAGATCTCTTGTACGGACTTGGTGTACCCAAAGAAGAATCAGTGATCCCTGGTATGTTGATCTTTTTTGAAGGTTCAGAAAGGAATCTCACACTACGTTTCATACAGGAACCGGTAGACCGACAGAAAATCAGAAGGCACGAGACGGCCCATCAAAATCTGGGCTTGTAATGTGGAAATCATCAACGTGCTCGCAGATACTTCGGACAACATTGCTGGCACCAGCAGCAGAGACAACATTCATCGCAGGGTTATCTATGATTGCACGTGAAGGAGACACGGCACGCGTGGACAACTCTGTCGTTATTCACCTGGATGACCACTATTCTCTTGCACGCATCCGAGAAATCCTGATACACAACCAACCTTCGCATCCAGTGTCTCATGTCGCTGTCGAGCACTACGCAATTGATGACCACCTACATCCTCAACTACTCCTGCCACAGATTAAACTGACAGGCAAGCTATCGGTGCTTGATGCTACAGTGAGTTCATCATAACATCGTGTACCACCATTCACCCTCAGTACAACATCAGC